GTTTCATGTGCTACCGCTCTATTTTCCCCATTTCTACTTCTTATTGTCTTGTTCAGCGGTATTAGGTGTTATCGGGTTGGTTGGCTCAGGTTCGGTAAGGTTTGAGACACTTAGTCTCTTTTAAGTAAGCTTAAGATGGAAAAGTCAACCGGATGTTGACTTATGTGAAAAAGGGCTCGGATGTGAATTCTGATGGTTCGGATAGCTTCGGGAGATGATTTGGGACTTAGAAGTGTGATCGGAATGTGTTTTGGAGGTTTGGAGTAGATTTAGGCTTGAATTGGCGAAATTGGAATTTTTGCGTTTTTCGGTTGATAGGTGAGATTTTGATATAGGGGTCGGAATGGAATTCGGGGAGTTGATATAGGTCCGTGGTGTCTTTTTGGATGTGTGTGCAAAATTTTAGGTCATTCGGACGTGGTTTGATAGACTTTTTGATCAAAAGCAGAATTTGAAAAATTTTGGAACCTTAGGCTTGAATTCGATGTGATTTGGGTGATTCGATGTTGTCTAAGGTGTTTTGAAGATTGGTATACATTTGGATAGTGGTGTGTGACTTATTGGTGCTTTTGGTTGAGGTCCCGGGGGCCTCGGGGTGATTTCAGATGGTTCACGGAAGATTTGGAGTTGGGAATTTGCAGCTGAATTCGATCTGCGGCTTGGGGACCGCAGGTGCGAACTCGCAGAAGCGCCTAGAGGGTCGCAGAAGCGGAATGGGCCATGGGGAGCTGGAACTGCAGAACAATTTAGGTGAGCGCACCTACGATAGCGCAGGTGCGGGTGTCTTATCGCAGATGCGGAACCTGGATTCTTAAGTGAAAACCTCAGATGCGGTGCTTTGGCCGCAGATGCGGTGTATGGACCGCATGTGCGAAAAGCCTGGGTCAGAAAGTATAAAAGATTTCCTTCGCGATTTTTGAGTTATTCTTCACCATTTTCATGTGGGTTTGAGCTTGAGGGAGCTATTTGAAGAGGGATTTCAAGGGGATTTCATAGAGATAAGGTTTTTGGACACTAAACTCGTTTCTATGGTGATATTTCACTAATTTGGATTGAAATTAATGGAGATTAAGGGTTAAAATTGGGAATTAGGGCTTGAGATTGGAGTCCTTTGAGTAAGGGTTTGAGGGGTCATTTGTAGTAGGATTTTGGTACTTTTGATATCAATGAACTCGTGGGAGGATAAGGAGTTTATTGATGTAATTTTTATCGAATTATGAGACGTGAGCCTGGGGGTCGGGTTTTGGTTAATTTCGGGATTTATATTGTAATTTGATGATTTTTGCATGGGCTTCGTTCTCTTAGCATATTTTGATGTCATGATTCTGATTTTGGATAGATTTGAGGCCGATTCGAGGGGCAAAGGAATCGCGGGCTAGAGTTTGGACCAGATAGAGGTGAGTAATGATTGTAAATATTGTCCTGAGGGTATGAAACCCCGGATTTCACATCGTTGTGTTATTTTGAGGTGACGCACACGCTAGATGACGAGTGTGGGGTGGTACATCATTGGGGATTGTGATTTAGTCCGTCCCGTATGACTATTAAACTGCGTATTTGACTGAAAAATGTTTGCTATCATCATGTCTTGGGCTGAATGCCATATTTGGGCCTCGTGCCAACTGTTTTGAACCCTTAGGGGATTTTTACTACTATTCCTCACTGTTTTGACTTTATACTTATACTCAGTCATGCTATATTCTACTTTTATCATAACTCAGCCATGTTTACTCTATTTTGACATCGTAAATGATATTTTGAGCTGAACATCATATTTTTCTATGTCCGAGTGGCTTTAGAGATTTCTGACTAAGTAGGGCCGAGGGCCTGTGTTGTGAGGTTATTATGGGATCGGGCTACGCGTCGCAGCGGTATTGAGCTGATTCATGATTATCAGGTCGAGGGCCTGTTTGATTATGCCACGAGATGGTTTGTTATTGCGCTTGGGCCGTAAGGGGCCCCTCCAGGAGTCTATAAACCCCTAGTGAGCGCGGGTACCCAGTGTGAGATGTGTTATAGCCCGAGTGGATGATGTTGTTCCATGCTATTTCCTGAGGGGCTGATACGAGTGATTATGAGATAGTCCAAGGGGCTGATTCTGTTGGTACTTTGCCCGAGGGGCTGGTTTTATGTGTTTATCTTTTCTCATTGCTTTTCATTCACTCGTTTAACTGTCAAAAGATGTTTTAAAGAAGCTTATACTGAACTAAGGTGTTTTTACAAGATTTTACTATTTTATTGCATTGTATTGGTTTTACACTGCCTCCTTGTAGCATTTTGCTGTGTTTTACGTGTTTTCTTATCGCTCAGCTGCCTTTACTTTTATTACTCACTAAGTTGGCGTACTCACATTACTCCCTGCACCCTGTGTGCAGATTCAGGAGTTTCGGGTCCCGCTAGCGAGCGATGATTGCTTCCAGCAGGCTGTTCGGAGTTCACTAGGTAGTTGTTCGGCGTTTGCAACCCAGTGTTTCTCTTTCCTATCTTTATTTTCCTTATACTAGCCTTGTACTAGACTGTGTAGACTTTTCCAACTCTTAGACGGATGTTTTAGATGCTCATGACTGGTGACACCCCAATGTCGGGCTGTGTTTATTTTTGCACTTGTTCTATTTCACTGTATTTTGGGGTTTATCACTTATTAATGACTTAAATTAAATTATTATAATTGTTTAAATGGATTGGGGGTTTGTGTTGACTGGCCCTGTTTCATGAAGGCTCCATCACGACCAGGTCCGAATTTAGAGTCGTGACAAACCTGCATAAAAATATGTTTCACCTATGTGAAAATAGTGGATCTCCTTATTGAAGATGAACAATTTTTTGGTGAATGGTACATATACAAAGTATATTTCCTCTAAACTTTTATGAGTCATGTGCTTCTCTTTTATTTAGTCTTGCATCCCATGCTTCTAATTCTTGAAGTAATAATAAGTTCATATCAACCTGCAAAGCGAGAAAAGGTACATATTCTAATTGACATGGTGAAAATTATGATAGAGCGCCAAGGAATCATTCTTGGACAAGAGAAAAAGAAAGAAAATCAGAAGTTCAATGAAATTTTGTCTTTGAACTATGTATACTTGCAGCTCTCATACGCACCAGCCAAAGTAATCGAAGTACGTACTAATTTCTCGTCACAGTGTTATCATAGAGTTCAATACTTTTCAATTATAAAAATTCAAGTTATGAGTACATTACTAAACTCAGGTAGTCGACTATCTTGATTTTATTTATCCTCATGCACGATTCAATCATGATATCGTAAGATGTAAAATGTAGAAAATCATGTATTAGTATTTCATTAGTTTACCTTTACTCGTGGAGTATTTCGCGATGGTTGCTGAAATCCTGTGACATTTTAGTCATATACACACACCTAAAGTAGTTTGTGGAACTCTCATACTATTATTACTTTTGTAGTAAGTTCAATATGAATAATAGCATTTATGTGTGAGATAACAAATATTCTAAGAAGAATTCATCTTTCTTATTTCATCTGTTTAGTTGAACTGGTTTACTGAAAAAGTCAATCACCATAGCTGCTGCCAAATTAACCATGAAAACTAGACCAAAAATGCAGCGAAAACCTCCAAAAAGACAGTCCAAAAAGGTCACTTAAACCCCATAAAAATATAGTCGTAAAGATACCAAAACTTTTGTCACAAACCAGCCATGAATCACCTCTAACCTCCATTAAAATCATCATTAAACTATCGAACCACCATGAAAACGACCTCAGATTAGCCATGCAAATGAGCACCTGAAAACTCCATAAAATCAGTTCACAAAGCAACCAAAACCCCTCTTTTAACATAAAAAACTCTTCCTATGAATTTGCTTCTTAGCACCCGCAACACTTCTGTAGCCTAAGTGAGCCGACTATATATGATATCTGCCATTGATTTATTCTGAATACAATAGATGTTATTAAGTAAAAAGATTAACTATAGGTGAACTATACTAATTGCTACAATTCATTGCATATCAATGAAAGAACATTTTGTGTAAAATTTGAACGGTGGAGCAATTTCTTAGACCTTTGAGCTTATGGGGAACAAGGAAATTTCATATTAGTCTTAGCAAGTACTTCAGATGTCACGACCCAATTTCCCCTCTGTTGGGTGTCGTGATGACACCTAGTCATGAGTATAATGGAAGTGGATGTCGTGAGTCTCAGTCGTGAGTATAATGGAAGTGGATGTCGTGAGTTCTAATCGTGGGACAATTTTAGGTTTTGTAGAGGAAATTTAGGGAAAGTGGTATCCAAATATGCAATTTATAAATAATAATCTAAAATCAATTTTCTTATTTAGAGAGGAAAAAACGTGTCCTTTAATTGTGCCTCTTCAAATCAGTTATTTTTTGAAAAATTTAAAAATTCTAAACTCCTAAAAAAATGTGCACTTTACATTTTTTAAAAATAAATATGGAACTCCAACAAAGTTGGAGAATTGTCCAAAAAATTTACATGTATCAATTTAATGTTATCCACTTTGTCATCATAATATTTATTTGCCTCTCCTATTATATATAAATAAATTTCCACTCATTTTAAGCATCTCAACTATCCCAACGAATATCTACTACTTCTCATCAGCACCTCAACTATCCCAACGACTATCTACTACTCACCAGCAGAGATATCAGGTTTTAAAAAAATCACTTAGTATTTGAAGGAAAGTACATGTATTATTAGTTACCAAAAATAGACAGTGCATTATTAATGATGTCAAGGGAGAAATGCCCCAAGGCAAACCACCGCAACTTCAACGCCAACAAACCAAGGTTGAAATTCTTATTACAACCGAGAAACCGTTGAAAGCAAACTGCACTCGTGAATAATGAATCCGCCTCTCTACCCTTCTCCACTTAAATACCCAAAAAAATTATTCAACAAGATTCAAACTCATGCCGTGCACTGAACCTACACCGTGCATTGTGCTCTTACCACCAGGCCAAAGCCCAGGGGCCTAACCAAGGTTGAAACTTGTGCAAGGTAAAGTAGCAAATTCCAATCTTTTACTATAATTTGAAGACAAAATCTGGTGCAATTACATACTGAACAGGTTTCCTTGTCCTACAACAAAATTGGATATATCCAACCCTCTTTTTTTCTCTATAATGTTTCCTCACCATCTATAAGTTATAAAAAAGAAATCTGTCTAAATTAGGCTGATTTCAACTTGGCAGATGATGATGCTAGATATGCAAGGGTTCTGTGCCCGACGAACATCAAGAAGATCCCTAAAAAGCCAAGTGCTTTAAGTGTTGTGAATAGATTCAGCTGCAGGCAAAGAAGCAAATAAGTATGTGTAGTTATTAGCAAGTAAAAACACATAAACATTCCGAACAAATATATCAGACAAGTTAATTTAGAAGGCTTTCTACAGATAATAGAGCATAGGTGAACACAGCACAGAGTAACTTTCAGTTAACAGATTCCAAAGTTTCAGTATTGTTAAATCAAACACAAGACATTCCAAAACCTTATTGATGTACTATAACTAGTCGTTAGGATTTGTGTACTTCCAACTTCCGAAAACTGAACCATCAGTGTTTTTTAATTAGACCAAAAATCAGTTTAGTTTAAGGAATAGACAGATAGAAGGATAGGGAAGTTGAACTAATTTCCTTCTCTATCTCCTCGTGTTGTTTCCAAAATAAAAAATGAAGTAATAGAAACGCTGCCAAACAGAAGTCGAAGAATTCTCATATAAAGGAGATCCAGAGACTGAAGAAAGTGTGCACAGACCTTCAACCAAAATAGAAGATAGAGCGATAAGACAGCTGCAATGCCAAAGTGGAAAAGAATGGCAAATGTAGCAGGTGCTGATGCTTTTGGGAAGTTCTTCAGATTGACTTGCAGCCTCAAAAGCTGAGGAAATATTACAGCAAAAAAAATTAACAACAAAAGTATTATAAGGAAGAGAGGAATATAAAGCTTCGGATCAAATCCAAGGCAAAACAAACAAATGGAGACGAAGCAATCATATAGCTCTTTTGAGAAAGGAGAACACACTACCGTTCATCACAATCAACTAACTAAGAAACGAATTCGAGAGAATTACCCCCACCAAAAATCCAACGAATGGCAAGAGAACAAGGGCCAAAAAGATGAGCGAAAGCTCCTTAGGAGGTCTTTTTTCCGGAGCTCTGAATATGTGTGATATTTCTGCCTTGGGCCCAAATTTTGAGGAAGCGTCAACAGCTTGTGGAGGAGGGCGAGCTGCCTTTTCTGGAGGCTCTGGTAGATCTAACTCAATTGAACCCAGATGTTGGAAGAACGAGTTCTCCTGGAGGAAAATTCAACGAAGCCCAGGTATCATTAGAAGAAATTTCTTTACTGCTGTTCGGCTTAAAAATCGACCAAAATGTGACACAATATGTAGAGCATTTATGGAGCTAAAAATCAATACTTACCATGACAGCATCCCCAACTGTAAGTTGAATGTCATATCTACCTGACAGATAGAAAAACTTCTCGACTAGCCCAAGAAAATCCTACAAAGCAGAAAGCGATTTAAAATACAGCGGTTAGCTCTTCCAGTCATTGTTGGTATTGGAGTTATAGCAATTTTAGTGATGCTTTTTATTGGGATTGGAACTTGAGGCTAGGAAACTATTAATGTTTAGCTAGACAAAAATCCAATAGCAAATCACCAACCACATCAACTGCGAGCATCAATATGGTAATAAATTGGAATAACTTCTAAGAAGCACAATCAAACAGGCTTGTGCTGAATTCAGAAATAAGTCATACTCCTCCCTATGTCAAAGTAAGTAGAGAGAGAGAGAGAGAGAGAAATGATTTAGAAAACTTAACTAGTATTATTTCAAAAAAATTTCCAGAATTTCCCACAACAAAGATGTGTTCCACTTTGCTCTCATGTCTCAACTTGAGGAAAGCCTGCAGAGGAAATCGGTAAGTCAACCAACTGGCTATGACAGAACCGTTCGCTAAAAGGATAAGGTGAGCTTCCAACCTGGTGCGGCTTAAAAGCATTCCCTAGAGGAGAAGTTAATTGGAATGACAACTGTAGCTTTTGAAGATGGTTTGCTGAGAGAGAGATACTGTTCTCCCCAGCCAAATCAAGCCTGTAAAAGAACACACATAGATAAAGATAAACTATCGATGTGGTGAAGGCACATATACGATGCTTGCACAATTTTCAATTAGTATCAGTTGGCATAGAATTGTACATATGACAGTATAAAAAAACAGCATGAAACAGTTAACAAGACAGTACTCAAATGATAATAATTAGAGGTGACAAAATTGCACCTTCCATTAAATCAAGGAAGTCATACGATGTGATGGAAGTTATGTAAAGTTAAATCCTATGAACTACTTGAAGGTTTGAATCACCCTTTAAGTTTCTTGATTGAAAGTTTTAGAAATCTAAATAGGGTAAATAGCGATGCAATGTAAATAGAATCAAAACTAACCGTCTAGATACAGAAAAGGAAAACTTTCAATAGGACATCTTTATCAAAAAAGAACTTCGACCAAGCTAATAAAACAGCACAGAATCATATTCCCAATGCATTCCTATCCACCACTAACATGGAAAAGACAGGTATTAAAGCATTAGAAACGTATTGAATAAAGTTTCCAGTGTATCATAATAGAAGGTGGTTCCTCTTGGCTCTTCAGGAAAGGTAAAAATGACAAGCTTGAGCCTAGTTCAGCAGTTCGCTTGTGCCCTGTTAAGCGTAAAGTGGGAAATGGAGATGCACTCTCCATGTTCACAAACTAAAACATTTAAGAAGGAAAAAGAAGATCAAAAAGGCGAAGGAAAAATGTATTTACTCAAAAAGAAATATGAAAAAGGGGAAAAAGAAGAGCAAACGTACAGTGAAGAATACTGTGAATTCTCTGAAAGTAAAGACCAAGCATTATTGGCATAGACCCAACTAAGCTGATTCTATGAATTCTATTATTAATCTAAAATTAGAGAATTGCATAGCTTCAATAAACACTTTGCAGATAATTTTCAATTTAATCAGTGATAACAAAACTTTGATTATTAACCCTCTAGAAAGACGCTTGAATAAGTGTGTAATGCAAGTTCCCAAAGGGATTACTAAGTTGTTGAGACAAGTAACTCGGAGGTCCCAGGTTCAATTCCAGCTACAACATTTGGTGTGAATTATAACTCTTATTGTGAGCCTAACTGCTCTACCCTTAACGGAGCAGGATTACCCAACACCTATGCTTGTAGGCTGTAGTGACTCGGTGGATTAGTCGAGATGTGTGCAATTTACTAGACTTAATATCACCATCATTAAGAGAAAAGAATAACATTATGTAAATTGATATTACAGTTCATGTAAGATCGCATTCAAAGATGGCCAGTTCTTCAAATTTTATTAATGAGAACGTGATACAGCACGTAGAAAAAAATCTTAGATCTACTTAATATTTTCCTTCTACAATGAATAGCTAAAAATGTCAAAACAGGAAAGGAACAAACTTTTCAGTGTTAAACATAGCTTTAGAGGCTCTTACTAGATAGGGCGGGCAGAATAGAAGTCTCACACTACTAGCTTTAGTTTTGAGCATGCAGCGGCAGTCAGGAATGAATGTTATACTAAACTATCCGCAAATATGTTTCATATTTTGAGGCATGATACTTGCATTTATCATATCAGAAACAAGTCAACGGCAATCAACAATACAAAGTATCAGTAAATGAAGACAATAGGCCAAAAAAATAGTCAATGATTACAACAGAAACGCACACTTTGAAGTATATATGTGTCATGGACATTGAGAAAAGAGACAGCAGAAAAGCAAATACCTCTTTTGAGTTTCCACATTACCAAGATCGCTGTCAAGAACAGCAACCTCTGCATGGTCAACTTTGACAAATCCTGTCACGTATATGGGTACTTTTGTTCGTCCTCCAGCGGCATAGATCTTTTTATCCTCAGGATTGTGAAGGACAATCTAGAAGATCATCCAGAAAAGAAAGGTAGGAGATAAAAAAAAAGATCAAGTTGAAGGCGTGAGAGATTCTGAGGGAGGGGGAATGAGAAGCTGAACATTTTAACAAGGGAAAGAGAATGAGAGGCCATACCTCAAAAGTAAAAATGTAACTACCAGCGTCAATGTTCTCTGGCAATACATCTAAGAAATGCACAGCATTTTCTGGGTCAAATTTGAGATCCTGCAGAGCACAAATTTCAAACGAATTAAAGTTAAGGAAAAGAAAAGATATCTATACTATTTTAATCAAAATATACTAGATCTCCATCAGCTGCATTCGATCACAAACAAAAACCCTATGCACCTGATCAATGATAGAAGCATCTTTGGAACCGGAGGTGAAGATCTGCTTGAGTTTGACTGACAGAGAAGGTGCAGCAGAGCCCAAAACAGTGTTTACGTTCACCTAATTTAAGAAAAACAAATGTCAACAATTGCGATCCATTGATGAGCACTTAAAACAACCAAGACAACCAAATACTCTGTATAAGCAAAAGGGGATTTTTTTTTTTTTTTGTACAAGCAATAATGCTGACTTGCACTTGTAAAATAAGGCCCACTTAACCTTATTGTGAGAAAACTTTCAAGCCATCATTTTTTTAAATCTAAACCAGTCTTTCAAGCCAATATCCTTGTTAGTATACAATAGTTATCGCTAAAGAAACAAAAAAAATAAGAAAAAGGCGTCAGTGTGACTTAAATCCAAAATGAGAGGTAAGAATAAACAAGTGCTGAGGAAAACTAAAGAGAATACTATGTAATCAAAACTTGAGGAAAAAGAGATCAATGTGCCGCACCTTAAGCTGGTCTTTCCTAGTCAATGAAAGCACAGCAGTCGGGGGCGACAAAATCAAAGGAATGGAGACCCTGTATATAGAAAATAAATTTGTGACATATATAAGTAAAGAATGCTGCTAGCTGCTAAGGTGCTTCATCTGAAACTGAAATTTACTAGACATAAACAAATTCCCTGAAATACTGGATTTGGGAAAAGGGAAAATGGAGCAAATCGTAGTCACCCACCTATTGTTTTCTAAGGAAGCCAATGCATCAAGTTGATAAAACAAGTCTTCTGCTTTTCCAGGAATTCCGACACCGAGGAAAAACCTTGCTAAACCTAAGATTTTGTCACCTGGAAGCTGCTTACAATAGAGGAAATTATTATCAAGCTTTCATATGATAGTTGAAAAAAATACGAAAACATCAAGTATTAGACTACCGTACGTTTAAATCTTCATCAGATGCTATGGCAAATGCTGTGATACCACGCACCACAGCTGATGAAGCTGATAGGGGACTCTGATATCCATGAGCATCAACAAGCTTTTCATCAAAGTAATAAGCCCCATCATCTGTAACATGACAATCGTTCTTAGAATGACACTGAGTTTGCGAGCCTGATTCGACAAACTGCAGCGTCGGCTCTAAATAGGGTAGAACTGTATTGAATTCTTTTTTATTTTAATAACGTAGAACAAATCTAATTAGTTCCTTCTTGGGAAAACTACAAAACGCATGAGTAGCATCTAGCGATGTGTCAAAGACTAAGCGCATCGAACTTCTCAATCAAATAGCACCAGATAAAGTTAACAACAGTAATTATTTTCACTTTTCCATCAGACCATTCCAATAAAACATACTTGACTTCTGGCTCCCTTTCCTTACCTCTTTCTCAACCAACTCATCAAACACAAACATTTTCGAGTCAAATATATGAAAACAAATTTACATGTTATGTATTTCTCCAGAGTAAGAAGGTACAACCAGGTTTCAGCCTTCTTACATCAATTGGAGTGAAATATAGATTCAACCTTTCATTATGGGATGGTACACAAGTTTTCCACCCAAAAGAAAAACAGGGAACATTCACCACAAGAAAAGGTGAGGTACCTCAAAATCAAAGTCATTTTCTAAGCGTATAATCGTTTTCCATAAATGGAAAGGACTAAAGAAATTGCTCGGTTATCAAATGAGGAAACACAAGGAGGCACCCGACATGTTTCACTTTGTTTTAACGTGCAGCATCCACTAATAAACACTTTCACTTGAACTTTCAATATCAAGAATACAGCAAGAAAATCATACTCAATCCTTTGTTTCTCTGACTAAATAATACTAATATATAAAAGGAAGAGCACTAAGTTTCTTTCTTGGGTAATTGTATGGAACAGAGAAATAACACCTGTTTAACATATAACAGTATCACCTACTCTGACAAAAAATGACAAAATTCACAATATTTTTATGAACTATAAGTTTTATTTATTTTTTTGGCCAGCACCTGACATAAGGGACCTAATGTATGTTACCAAACAAGGAACATAAGGAGGGCACCTAACATGTTTCACTTTGTTTTAACTTGCTGCATACACTAATAAATACTTTCACTTGAACTTCCAATATAAAGAAAAACAGCTAACATACTAAATCACAAAAGCAAGAGCTCTAAATTTCTTTCTTAATGAATGATATGGAAAAGAGATATGACACCTTTTTAACACACAACAATATCACCTGCTATGACAAAAAATCACAAAAATTCATATAATTTATATAGGCTATATGTTTTTCTTTCTTTCTTGGCTAGCAAGGAATACAAGATAAATTAGAATACCATGTCTTTTGCAGTATCTAAAAGTAAAGCTTTGACGAGTAAGGAGATTTTATCTGGTGCATCCAAATGAATACGCGGACCTAAAACATTTAAAAACATCTAATATCATTTATTCTATTTAGCATAGGCACATCCGTGTACACCGATGTAAGTTCAGATCTTAGAACAGGGAAATCTCAAGCAAAATTTTCTATCAGCTACTGACAACCTAGAAAAACAAAGAAGAATTAAGAGTGAACATGAGAGAAAGGAGAACATAGGAAAGAACAAAAGAGGTGGATACCATATTTCTCAACACCGTCCAGAAGCTTCAATATGTCATTTTTCACCAGGCTAATCTGCCGACAGAAAAAAATAGCAGTAGAAAACTAGTAATCTCACAAAAGAATGAAGCATCCACATGAATAAAGACTAAACAAAAATCAGAAAGCTGAAAATTATAATGTACTTCCAAGTGGAGCATAAGACAACTTCAGTATATAAGCTGACATATTGGTCCCACAAAACTCAATGCTGCCTAGACATATTTACAGACACATGCAATATGGCATCAAGTAACTGGCAATCTTTTGTCTCTGCTTTATCTCCTGTAAGTGCACCCCCTCAAACATGTAAGGGGTCATTTGGTCGGATGTATTAGGAAAAATAATACATGTATTAGCTTTGGTACTATTAATATTTGGTAGTGTTTTTAAACCTATGTATAACTAATACACTCTATTCAGTATTATTCTTATACATAGCAAACCATGGCATTAGCAATACCATGGTTTTTAATACATGAATAAGCATGTATAAAGACAGAATTGCCTTTTCAAACCTTTCAAATGTTTTCAAAGAGCACTTTTGTAAACAAACATTTTTAAAAAAAAATTATGCAATGTATGTTATTTTTAATACACCAAACCATACCGTCGATAAGAAATAATCCCAGCATAACTAACCCAATTATTACTAATCCTAGCATTACTAATACACCCTATACAGTACTATTCTTGTACACCCTACCAAACGACCCCTAAGAGTATATAAACTTTTTTCATTCTTTTTGCAACATTCAGATATTAGTATCACATGAGAGGTATAGTATGATTTTCTTGACCGCTTTAGAAATTACTCAGTAAATCTGCCATCACTGCCTATTCCCAAATCGTGACATCTTGTAATACGTAAAAGCTTGAATCCACACTAAAAATGCACATTGAGTGGCAAAATAATGGAGGCAAATGAAACATATGCAAATACCATATTCAGTAACCTCTCCAGTGATAGCAGTCAGAAACTCACATTCAATACCATCAAATTGAACTGAAAAAACAATGACCAGTGACTAGTGTACTGAAAAAACACTGACCAGTGTATTAAACTGCTAATCAGGTTCAAAAACTAGTAAAATTTTAATTCAAATTTATTAGTTCTTATACTACGTTTCTAATGTCATATTCATAAACCCTGATGTATCCATCCAATTGATTTCTTCTCCATCATTCGCTTATCAGTACTGTGATTTACGAAATTTTGAGTTATGTACTTAAAGAATTATGTGACTCTCTATAATGATGATATGCACATAACTTATAGACGAGTCTTTATATTGCTAGAAGAAATTGGGTTACAAAAATACATGGGCATTTTCTTCTCTTATTTTGCATGCATACTTTTGGTGATGAATGCATATTGATATTTGATCCTTTTTTTGTTTTTCAGGGTTTGAATTTGAGGATGAATTCTCTTTTTCTTTAAAAGGGAAGAGCTATCATGCAGTTGGGACCCGGGAGGAAAGGTTGGTACATGAAGAGGTCCTCACTTCGAAAGGGCAAGCCAGACTATTGAAGTATGGAAACTATTTAGGTCCTTTTATGTTTCAATTGAGTTATCCTGCAGGATTTAGGCCAAACATGAACTACCTTGAGTACAGAAGTTGTAGAAGATGAATTCCCTTCTCCATATTTTAATACTACAAGGTTGAGTGGTCACACTGCTTCAGGAGCTCCTCAGTTTGACTATGGGAAAGAGCATGAAATCTTACCGGCTAGATTCTTGCTTTGCTTAATAAAACATCACAGTATTTATATCACTAATAAAGGTGTCAGGAGCAATGTCATACTTAAAGAAGCTTGTGATGGCTCTAATGTAATTAGTGAATGCCCACATTTACTGTTTAGGGGGTAACTTTATAGCTCTCACAGGCAAAAGAGGTATTGATCCATGTACAAGGGTTTCTTCATAGTAGATTTAATGGAAAAGGGTTCAAAATGCCCCTAAACTATTGGAAAAGGTTTAAAACTACCCTTTCATCCACCTATTGGGCTAGAAATACTCCTTCATCCACCTTTTTGGTTCACTTATGCCCTTTGACCGTTAGGTCAATGCTGAATTAAAAATAATTACTTAAAAAAAATATTTTGCAAAATATTTTTGTTTTTTTTTAAACTAATGCACCAGTAGTCCACTAATTTAGTAAAGTCTTCTTCTTCTTTTTCAGTTTTTACAAAAAATATTTTTCCCAGTTTTTTTAAAGCATTTTTTTCGTAAAAACAGAAAAAAATTGTTTTTAACAAAAATATTTTCTTTTTTAAAAACTGAAAAAAATATTTTGTTAAAAAACGAAAATATTTTTTCAGTTTTTTCAAATTTATTTTTCCAGTTTTTACAAAAAAAATGCTTTAAAAAAACTGTAAAAATTCAAAAAAAATTCAAAAACGAAAATATTTTGTTGAAAATATTTTTTCAGTTTTAAAAAACGAAAATATTTTATTAAAAATAATTTTTTTCTGTTTTTACAATTTTTTTCAGTTTTTACAAAAAAAATGCTTTAAAAAAACTGAATAAAATGAAAAAAAAAATTGTAAAAACTGAATTATTTTTTGTAAAAACTGAAGAAAAAAAAAAACACTTTACAAAATTAGTGGACTGCTGGTGCATTAGTTTTAAAAAATGAAAATATTTTTTAAGTAATTATTTTTAATTCAGCATTGACCTAACGGTCAAAGGGCATAAGTAAACCAAAAAGGTGGATGGAGGGGTATTTTTAGCCCAATAGGTGGATGAAGGATATTTTAAACCTTTTTCAATAGTTTAGGGGCATTTTGAACCATTTTCTGTAGATTTAATGAGAATATTTGTTGATAACATGGTTTTCTTGCAATTCGAAAGGATTATTACAATGGCCCTGAGCCTTATCAATAGAGGAGAAAAGGTTGGTCAAAGTGTATTACTTCCGGCATCATTCATTACAGGTCCTAGGAATATGTGATGAATTGATCATTTACAAAGACTTGTAATTTATTCTTTTGTATATTATTATTTACTCAAATATTCCTTCTAATAATATTGATATTCTTTTATACAGTATATACTTCATGATTTAGTATACACGTAGTGAGAAACTAGTTATAAAAATAAAGNCTGAAATGCACCTCTTAGCAGTTAGCATGTTGATGCCTACACATAAGTGCCCTTAAGCAAAGCGAAGCACCTAGCCTATGCTACATCTAGCTTCAGGCTTATGCAACCCTTTAATAGCACCGACCAGGAGGATTACGAGCGGTAACTGAATGCTTGCCATAGAAAGGAGAAGTATGACTCACCAGAGAACGATCAATCTCAGAAGATGCTAATGAAATGACACCAGCCAGGCTCTCAAGTGCAATTCCTGTAGGAGAATATTTTAACCATGAAAAAATAGCAACAAAAGAAATAGCGATAAAGCATTCAAGCAAGAAGAGGGGGGACCTTAGGGAGCCATATTTACAGATAGACAACTTTTTCCAGTATAATGCTAGACTATTGTCTTCTATAGAAAATAATCACCTGCAGCAAATGTACTAGACTCGGGATTGTTGGAGCTATAGCGCCATCTTCCATCACTTTGGCTAAGAGCCTGCCAAGAGCTCTCAAGTGTCAATATGCATTCTTACACCCAATATTACAGCAACAAATATTGAAGAATGATATGTAAATTATAACAGCAAGTGCACTTTGAAACCTTTATGGCACGGAAAACTGAATCAGCACCTCCAAGGTGTACATCAACTTCAGAAGCTTGACCCTAGAGAAAAGACAGTCACAAGTAAAAAACAGAGAAAATCATATCTTGACGATATCCAATTCCCTTATGAAGCACACAAGCAACTCCATACAGAATATATACTGAGAAGCTTCAGCTTTTCTTTTCATCTGCTTTTGTTATCATTCTTTAGAGGGGTTCAAGAGGGGAAAGGAGTATCAGTATCAGTTACTGTCAGGTATAATATAAAAGAAACTATGAGACATTTCTCCATGTTGCATTACCTCGATAAGGACTAAACTTCCAACTGAATAGTAGTAGTCGAGAAGTGAACCAGCACTGTTCACGTTATCCTTAAGTCTAGAGGCTATGCCCTTCACAAAAACCCAGCGGTAGAGCACAATGATGAAGGAAGAGATATAAGTGAATATAATGCACCAAAAGTCAATATCAAAAATCAAATCAGCAGTAAGCTTAAACATACAGCAAAAGCCTCATTGTTAAGCTCGCACTTCAATATCCTATTGACTCTCAATGCTTGAAACAAATCCTTCGATGCTGAAGATGGAGACCTAACAGTATCCACCACTGATTTACATGTAACCGCCTTGATGTCAGGCTGTTTTCCAGTTCCAAGAACCTCAAATGACCTTAAGGCCTTGTATGTCACTTCAAGACTGGAAAGAGGTAAAATAATCAACAGCTAGACACATACAATTGACTTTGCAAGATACAAAAAAATATCAGCTATAAGTTAGTAAAAAAGCAAAGAAAAAAGGGACTTTTTCCTGACTGTCGCACAAAGAGTGCCAACTTAACATTTTTGTGATAGGAGACTATCAACAATTTTTAAACACAGAGAGCACAATGCGCATCAACTGTGTTAATCCCCAGCTCCATCAGATTCTGATAACAATCGGCTAATAAGGTAGCCAAACATTTCTTTTATGAAGTAAGTAGATAGGTAGGCAAACATTGTTTTTCCTTTCGCCCCTATATTTCTTGCTGGGGAGCTGCAGGAAGAGTTTCAAAAAATACATCTAGCAAAATTTCTAGATTGCCAATAACCAAACTATTCCTCAGTTAAGAAATATTATAACCAAGAAATCCACTATTAGCAGCATCGAAACCAGATAAATAATGGACCCACCCCTTTACCATTCTCCGCTCAAATACTAGACTTGGTTCACCAAGATTCGAACTTGTGAAGTTATTCAGGTAATTAGTACTCACTCAAAATTTTTGTTTTAGGTAGCCAAAGCATTGTATTATTAATTCTGGACCCTCAAATGATATCAAACATAAGCACTTCAAATACGTAGACGACATAGTTTAGAGCTCATCAACAGATACGACTATTCATAATAAAACACCCAGGTTGGGTGTAACCTGTATAACACTGTATACTTAACCCCAAATTTGACCAAACTGCTATTAACTCCTATCTACAATTCCTTTCCCCATCATCAGTGGTACTCAAAATGGTATAGTGAATACAACTCTCTCCGTCCCATTTTATGTGGCACACTTTCCTTTTTCATTTATCCCAAAATAATAGCACCTCCTCATATTTAAAAACAATTCAACTTTAAACTACTCATTTTACACTTATGAGATGATTTATAGTCACACAAATATCTATGGCTTGTTTAATCACAAGTTTCAAAAGTCTGTCTTTCTTTCTAAACTTTGTGCCTAGTCAAACGGTGTGACATAATGGGATGAAGGGAGTAAAAGGTCAATACGGGAATGAGATCCGGCTCAAAAATCTTAGCTTTATAATCATCATCAATGTAAAATTTGTACAATTAACAAGCCAAAGTTCAAAATTCTGCTAAGCCATCAAAAGGATCAACCACAAACACCTGCTACAGAACCCTTTTAACCATATTACTCTTTCTCAAACACTACACACTCAACAAATCCAAGAACACAAATGGGTTTATTGAGGGTTTAATTAAACCTTTCAAAAGATCCATCTTTGGGTGTAAGCAAATCTAAAGCTGCAGATCGGTGAGAATCTGAAATGGGTTTGAAAATTGCAGCTTCACAGATCAATATACACACCGCTAGAATCAAAAATCCTAAAACTTTCCCCATTTTCTGCACACAAAAAAAATCAAGAAAAATGCAGTTTAAACTTTTGAGCATAAATTCGAAGAAAATAATTTGAATCAAAGTGCAAATGAGAACTTGGGTGAGAAATTGGGGAAGAAGACTTACGAGTCTGCGCCAGAGTGATGAGAGGGAGGCTCGATGGTTTTTGGAAGACTATGAACGTCTAAATCTAGTATAGAATTATGGTAAAATGACAAAAGTATCCCTTCTGTTTGGTGTAGGTTTAAAATAGTTCTTTAAATATACCCCTGAACGGTATTTGGTCCTTGAAGTTTGTTAAAAGTGATACTTTTGGCCTTTGTCAAATTACTCAAATATTTAATAAATTTTGGTTGTTAATAAAAATTTATAAAAGAAAAAAAAAAGATGTAACCGGGAACTCATATCTGAAGGTGAGGTTTTTGAAATTCTACTATTTTAATTTATTTATGGTGTCTGGATCAGTCTATTGACGTGTAATTTTTGCTACTATTTGTTTATTTTTTGTGCTTGCTAGTTTTTTGTATTGCAAAATTTGGAATTTGATTGAACTTTTCTATTGTATCTGGTTATATTTTTTTCATAATTCATATTAAATTTAACATGGAGAGTCTGTTAAGTATTTAAATGGAGAAAAAAAGTACTCACTTTTGATAAAATTAAAAGATAAAACCTACTCACAAGTATATTTAAGGGTTTTAAACCTCCTCATTCTTTTATTCATCAAAGCGTATCCAAAATCTCTGAAGATTACCACCTTAGCCCTATCCTACCATTTGTATAATATAGTTCAACATTTATTAACATATTCTTCTAATTTTTTCTTTCTTAAAATTAAAAAAAAAAAAGGATTGGCTCAAAGGATTGGCTCTTCCATTAAGAAGTCTTTGTGTAACAAGCGCATAGTATCCATTAGAAAGCTCGTGAATTTTATTATTAACTTAGATGAATTAATTTCAAGATATAATGATTTTCTATTATAATAGGACGTCCTTCCATCAAATATTCTATTTTTTCTTAGATGTTCGGGTTTAATTCCATACATATGGATTCACTGTTGTCATTTAGTCATATAAAATAAATATTATTTTATTGTCAAACATATCATCCTCATGTAGCTTGTTAAGTTTTACGTTTTTTTTCCCTATCTGTATAATGAATTGATGAACTACACTCATTTTTGTGTGAATCTAATGCCCCACCATCTTGACTTTGGAAGAGAGGGAACTAGCGAACTTTACAAAATTCCATGTGTAGCTTGACCAATGGAATACTGGTCTTGCTTTTTAATGAATTTTTCTTTTATTACTCTCTTTTACTACACTTTTCCTCCCTAGTAAAAGGGAGCTCGTTCGACACTATCAGTTGATGATATTGCTAATGGAATGTGAGTCTACGTAACTAGAGACGGACCCAGGATTTTAATGCGACAAGGGTATAATATTCTGTTCAATCAGTACCCACTAAAAGTTTTTAGCGTTCAGGATGTCAAGTAATTTAATTTAACCATTTTGAAGATATACACATATACATATGTAGAATTTCTGTCGAAATTTACGGGGTCCGATAACCCCTCAACATAACACATAGGTTCGCCTATGTATGTAATGTCATTGATTCTAATGTTCATGTCATTTCTAATAAATAGTGTAATTAGTGGTGAACCGAAAAGTGCTTCGTCGGCGGAACATGATACGCCAACATTGACTAGTGGAATGGGGGTGATAAATACTAACCTTGAGTTTAATACCCCATTATAAGTGTACATCTTGCATTTTTCTTCACAAACTGGTGCTTTATACTGGAATTTTTTTGGTCGAATGGTAAGTTCATGTGCAAAGAAAAATCATGTTCTGTATATTGAGCGTTTTACTATGTATTCTAGAGAATTAGTGAGGAGGAAAATAGTTAAATATAAGAAATAAACCAAATATTCTTAATACGATGCTCACTTATGTGATCATACAATTTAGTGTAGAAAGAAAATTTTACTTCTCTTATGGATTTTTAGTGTAACTGTCACGACCCAAAAACTCACTGCAGGCATCGTGATGGCACTTAGTATCTAAGACTAGGTAAGCCGATTACTAACAACGATTATGTCGGTTTTGACAATGATAATTTGAAACTTAGATTAATATAAATACCGAACAAAAGCGGAATAAGCCTACGTGGCAATAATCATAACAACCTCCCAAGACTGGTAATACAGAGTTACGAACTCTAGCTAAGTACATGGAAAGATCTCAAAGATCGAAATACAATACTGTCAGTACAATGAAAGGAAAGAACTCTAAGGGACTACGACGACCAAGCAGCTCTACTTTGAATCCTCGCGACAAATAAGCTAACTCTGTCCGAGTCTGATATCTTCAATACCTGGCTCTGCATAAAAATGTGCAGAAGTGTAGTATGAGTACACCACGGTCGGTACCCAATAAGTATTAAGACTAACCTCGGTGGAATAGTGACAAGGTACAAATTAAGACACTTACTAGACAAAATAACTTATGCAGTATAGAAGTATAAAGTTAATAATGAAAGTAGGAATCAGTCAATGGCAATAAGAATACCGTGTAAATACCATTGAAACCATTTAAGGAACACAAATGACAACCAATTAATCAAGCCATTCTAACACAAGTTTTCGCAACAAAAATTACCCAAGATACCTCATCCCATAGTCACAAGCCACGGGTCTCAACCTACCATCATATGCTCACGGCACCGTGTGCCCGCATTTCAAATCACAACCGCACGGACAACTCACATGCCAATATCTCAATCCGCACGGCATGATCACAAGCTCATATTCACAATCCACATGGTGTGGTCACAGGCTCACAATCACAATCTTCCCGACGAGGTCACATGCTCACAATCACAATCCGTCTGGCATGGTCACGGGCTCATAATCACAATCTGTCTGGCGTGGTCATGGGCTCATAATCACAATCTGTCTGGCGTGGTCATGGGCTCATAATCACAATCCATCTGGCGTGGTCACAAGCTCACAATCACAATCCTCCCGACGTGATCACATGCTCGTAATCATAATCCACCCAGCGTGGTCACATGCTTAATATCACGTGAAAACAAATAATACAAGAACACATGGGCATGATCAATAAATGTCAAGCTTCATACTCCTAAGCTAGTATAAGTGGCAAGCTACGGTGTATGCTTCTGCGAGTGTACTACTACAGCCCAAGTCAACAAGTCATATCAAAGACATCGAGTAGCTTATCGAAGCAACACAACAAGTCACGTAAGGTGTATGACATGCACAAGGAAAAACACACCATCACACGAAAATCACTAACACAATGTCCCCAAGCCATCACATATCATCCTTGACATTATCACCCTTATCTCTGATAGTCACCTGTATCACTCTGCCTTGATAATATTATTAGCCACCCGTATCACTCCGATAACCACTCGTATCACTCCATATAATAGCCACTCTTATTACTCTGCCCGGATAATAATACAATAGCCATTCGTATCACTTCGTACATTCAACAACAGTGAGATTCTACCTTTATGCCCCGCATAATGACAATGGTGAAATGCCACCTTTATACTCCACATAACAACAACCAAACCACACAACAATCCACATGTACTAACATCACAATAACACGACATATCAATTTGTATCATAAGTACCCATAAGCCACAACCTTTCAAAAAATCCAACAATATCAGTATTTCTACAACAAATAGTCCACGGCTCAACACAACGCGTATAGAATCTCTATAACAACAAAATGAACGGGAGAGTAACTCAACAAGGAACAACACCCCCTTTAAACACAACTTCAATTAAAATAGATTAATGATTTTCGATAACCTCAATTCCAATTAATTGTTTAAGGATAAACTCAATAGTGAAAATATTTTTATGAAATGGCAAACTTCGGATTCTAATGTATGAATTAGCTTAACAATGAAAAAGATGGCACGGACTAGTACTACATCTAAATGCATGAGAATAACTCAGCAACAAAAGGATATCATGTAAAAACAACTTCAACGAAGAGTAACTCCACAATAAAAGAAATCACATAATGATAAAAGTGATAACAACTTCAAATAAAGCATATAAGAGCAAACTCGACAAGTAAAGAATGTGACATATAATGACAACTTCAAATAAAGCATGTGATGTATACATGACGAATAAAATATATAACATGTGCTAATAATTCCAAATAAGTACATGAAAGAAGCCTAAAAGTCTAAACGGGTCAATTTTCACATATAAGCCCGAGTATGTACTAATCACCTCGCGTACACGGCTTTCACATGACAGAAATAGCACGAACGACTCAAATCCTAAGGGGCAGTTCCCCCACATAAAGTTAGGCATGATATTTACCTCAAAAAAGCTAAACCAATACTCTAAAATGGCCTTATCATGTGAAATAATCTCGGACGGCTCAAATATAGCCAAAATAACTTAATATCATAAATAAAAACCATAGGAAACAATTCCGGATAATAAAGCTTCGATCTTTAATGAAAATTAAAAAGCCAACCCAAAAAGTCAACCTCGGGCCCGCACCTTGGAACCTTAAAAAATTTAAAAAATCTGAACACACATTTCGATGCGAAACCAACAATACCAAAATTTTCCAATTAGGACATCAAATTGGCCTTCAAATCCTCATTTTATATTTTTGAAAGTCTTTACATAAATTCTCATTTCCTCTCATTCAAATCACTAATTTAATAATAAAAACAAAGGTGGAATCATGACATATAATTAAATCTGGATAAAGAACACTTACCTCAAACCAACACGTGAAAATTCCCTCCAAAATTGCCCAAATCTGAGCTCTCTAACCCAAAAGTGATAAAAATATCAAAAGCCCTCGAAATAGAGTACTTTATATTCTGCCTAGTCATTTGCACATCGCGATCACGGAAATACACATGCGATCGCGTAAGCAACAATGCGATCTCAAAGGCCAGCAAACAAAACAAGCAAGAACGTGCAACTCCTACGGCGAACGTGTAAGCCAACGAGCCTGCCTCCTTTTACAGCACTACGCGATCATGATCTTCATGACGCGAACGCGACTTACAAACAACTCACGCATCACGAACGCTGAAACAACTATGTGAACGCGAAGAAGAACCATGCCCAGCTCCCACAGCACATCACGATCGTGATAGCATACACACGATCGCATAGAGTACCTGAAGCA